TTCTCACATTTCTTTCATAAAATTCTTTCAATTCATCTCCCAATCTCAATCCTCTCTTAACCATTTCTTTCAAAACAATCATAGTTTCTTCAAATCTCTTCCTTTTCATAAGCTTACCAGCTAAACACCCAAAACTCTCACCATCTAACCTCAAATCTTTACCTGCGTACGTTAGCACAAACTCCAAACCAAGCGCATAATAGCCTTCCTTCACCATCTCCGTTATAACATGCGCATACGTCGAGTACAATACTCTCACACCATCTTCTTCCATCCTCCTCAGTATCCCAATCGCCGCCTCCACTTTCCCAGATCTACACGCGCCGAGCACAAGCGCGTCGTAGCTACACGCGTCCGGTGAGATCCCTTCTTCTTCTTCAATCTTCCGAATCACCTCGCTCGCTTCTTCCAATTCGCCGTCGTAACAGTGCGAAGTTAAGAAGTAGTTGTACGACGTTACGTCTACCGGAACCGATTTGGATCTCATCGATTCAACAACTCGCCACGCCTCTTCGATTTTGTTCTTCTTCGTGAGAGAGCATAAGATCGGGTGAAATGTCGACGGCGTTAAGCCGGACATGTCTCCGATCACTATTAAAGCGTCTTCGATTCGGTTGAGTTTGCAGAGACGAGCGATGAGGATGTCGTAAGCGTTTTTCCGAGTGAAACCTCTGTCGATCTGAGGTAAAACGCGGCGGAGATCTTCGAGATCTGAGGTGTATGAGGCGGTGTTGGTGAGGAATTTGAAGGTGTCGCTTGTGTTAAAGGATCCGTATGCTACGCGGCTGTTTAGGAGACAGCGTACGGTCTCGAAGTCGCCGGAGTTACCAGCGTCGTAGATGAGTTTGTCGAATTTGGTCGTACTCCGACGGCTTTGAGGAATCTTCACGGTGGAGAACGATCGATCGGTGAACAAATTAAGTGATGGTTTCACGATTCGTAGCCGGAGAAGAAGTGACATTTGAGTTCCCCAAATTGAATTTTGTTAATCGTTAGGGTTTAAGCGAAATATACCAAACGTTGAAGGGTATTCAGAAAATGGGTTTACAATATAATGGGCTTTTGTTGTATTTATGGCCCATTAGTAAAAACCTTACCCATTAGTTCTTTTTTTTTTTGGTCAAAAGTTAAAAAAAAACAAAAAAAGTTGAGGAAAAGTATAACACAAAAATGTTTTTTTTTTTTTACGCACACAAAAATGTTAGGTTATGGGTCAGATTTCTTAGGTAACTACGAATGGAGTTGGGTTTTTTTTAGGGCTAGTTAGCTAGGTAACAAAGATTTATAGGTAAATTAGAAAAATAAGAAAAAGAGGTGGGATTCCTTTGCAAAACAATAGGTTGATTAGTTAAGGATTTTGTTATTTTCCTAATTACTCTTAAATTCTTTGCTATCAACCCCAATTTCTTTTATTTTTTTAAGAGAAAATTGTAAAAATATCACTTTTGGTGTATTCATTTTCAAAAATGTTATTATGAGATGTTCATTTGCAAAAATGCCACTAATTAAAAAAATTTAAACCATAAATCTAACAATTTTAAACAGTAAAAAAGGTTTTAACCTCTAATAGACCATAAACACTCAAAACTAAATCTGAATACAACATAGTTAACCTTAAACATAAACAAAATATTGAGTAAATAATTTTGAAAAAAATGGTATTTTTCCAAAAATTTTGAAAAAATGGCATTTTTAAAAAATGACAATTCAAAATTTTCATTTCTCGAAAACTCTTTTGGTCTGGCTATAATAAAAAAAAAAAAAGCATTTTTACCCTAATTAGTAAGACGAAAGTTAATATAATAACATCACCCAGATGAAAAAAAAAAAAAACCGACGA